CCCATCACATATGTATGTAAATGGTCTGCCCTCTAGTCCGGGGTTAGTTTTCATGCTGTAGACGTGGAGTCCCAGTACAACTCCTTTTAGTACTGGTATAAATACAGTTCATCATCGGGGAGACCCAGTACGGCGCCTCAAGAAGAGTAGCAAGCCATCGTTTAATTACACACACCGAACTCGGAAGAAAAATCACTGCACCGATGGCTCCAAATCTCTCCTTGGCATCGGATGCAAAGAGTACAAAATTTTCTTCTTTTAATTGTCAGTTCTATTTTACAAATGAGTTTCTTATGTGTAGTAAGTGTAGAATAACTTCATATCGAATTGTTTTTCCATATTTTATTATTTTCATAAAATATACAAAAATTGGTCTCATCACACATAAAATGATGTTAGTGCAAATATACCATCTGATGCCTTACATTAACTCAGTTTTTTTAATTTATTTTATTGAATCCTTTTTTTCTAGAAATTGCTGTGAACTACAAATGTGCCTCATGATTAGCTTGATTGATGGATTTGAAATTTCATTACACCAATATATACGTTAATTGATCTTGTATCACAGTGTAATTCATATCATGTACTCACACTGTATCAACTTTGTACTAACTCTAGTACAAGGTCATAGTAAGGTTAAGACACTTATTTTGAGACGAAGGGAGTATTAAATAATTTAGTATAGTTTAATTTTATGGTATTTCCTTTAGTGTTAACTCGCCAAGATTATTTTTTTGACCTAATTGTTTAATTCATATCATATACACACACCGAACCATGAAGAAAAATCACCGCATCATCAAGTTACACCGCAACGTGAAGAAGAATCACGGCATAATAAAAAACACTGCTTTACATGACCGTCCAGAGAGCACGGGCCGCTCCAAATCTTATCTCCTTGGCGCCTCTAACAAAGCATCGGATGCCATGCCAGCATTCTCTAGGGTCACTGCAGAAAACAGCAGCAAGGCAGCGTGGGCTCACTGCAGCAAGGCATCAATCATGCAATTAGTGGAGGGGTCGACACTCACGCACATACATGGACTGCTGCATACCACCATCCATCTGTAGCAGCTCATTTTCTCCAGCTCTATCATTGGAAGCAGCACCACCGTCGTCTCCTCCATTTCTCAAGCTCTACTATGGCGATGTGTAAAAACTGAAAACAGAGCTTTACATGACCAGAGAGCTCCAAATCTTACCTCCTTGGCAACTCTAACAAAGCATCGGATGCCAGACATCGTGGGGTCGACACTGCAAGACATCGTGAGGTCACTACAGCAAGACATCAGTTATGCAATTTAAGGTGGAGGGGTCACTCGACCACTCACGCACATTACATGGACTGCTGCACCATCCATCTGTAGCAGTAGCACCGCCAAGTCTTATCAATCAACCCAGCGTCTCCTCTGTTTCTCCAACTCTATCAATCAACCCATCGTCTCCTCCGTTTATCCACCACCAACTCCTCCGCCACAGCAAGAAAAGACACCTCTCCTCCTGGTCCAAGCCATGGAGGCCGCCATGATCCCCTTGATCAAGAAGCTCGGTGGCCTACTCGCCGGCGAGTACAACCTGGAGAAACGCGTGAGGAAGCGCGTCGAGTCTCTGATCACCGAGTTGGAGATGATGCACGCCGTTCTACACAAGATCGGCGCCAAGCCGCCGGAGCAGTTCGACGAGCAGGTCCTCATCTGGGCGGGCAAAGTGAGGGACCTCTCCTACCATATGGAGGACGCCGTCGACGGTTTCCTCGTGCGCGTGGACGACATCGACAACGACCGTGGCTCCACCAACATGAAGAACACAGTCAAGAAGTTCCTCAAAAGGGCTACCAAATTGTTTACCAAGGGTAAGGCTCTTCATCAGATTTCCAATGACATTGAAGAAGCTCAGCGGCTCTCCAAGGAGTTGGGTGAGCTGCGCCAAAAGTATATGAGTGACGCGGACACCAAAGGTAATGGTGATGCCATTGACCCTCGCCTGAAGGCGGTGTACAAAGATGTCACAGAGCTTGTTGGGATAGATCACATAAGAGATGAGCTGATCAGGAAGCTGTGTGACGGCAATGAGAGGTCCAAGGACCAATTAAGGACCATGTCTATTGTTGGATTTGGCGGACTGGGCAAGACAACTCTGGCCAAAGCTGTGTATGACAAGATCAAAGTGCAGTTTGATAGTGTAGCTTTCGTTTCCGTGTCCCGGAATCCTGACATGACCAAGATTTTCAAGAAGATCTTATATGAACTTGACAAGAGCAAGTATGCAACCATCAACGAAGCTGCTAGGGACAATGAACAACTCATCGATGAACTGAGAATGTTTCTTCAGGACAAGAGGTATGTATGTAGGAGCAAATGATTATCATTATTCTTTCGAGGAGAGCATGTTGTGCTAGTTAGTGAACATTTAGTCCCAAGTAAGTTTTATTCTGGTTTTATTAAATGGCGCTGATATTAGGCCTTACTTTTTTTTGTTTTATATGAGTCTTCAAATTATGCACTATATATGTTTATCTTCTTTAAAAATTTCTTGAGCTGACAATACCGTCTCTTAATTAATTTGTTGCTGACTTGGCAGAACATATATAGACCTAGTTATGTTGGTTGATTTGCAAACTAACGCACTAAAAAATACAGGTACCTCATTGTAATCGATGACATATGAGATGAAAAAGCATGGGAACTTATTAAGTGTGCTTTTACTGACAACTGCCTCGGTAGTCGAGTGATGACTACCACCCGCATAGGCAGTATCTCTAAAGTATGTTGCTCTTCTGGTGATGATATAATATATCAGATGAAACCACTTCCTGATGATGAATCCGAAAGACTGTTCTACAAAAGAATATTTCCTCAAGGAAGTAAGTGTCCTGATGAATTGGGGGAGGTATCTAGGAAAATCTTAAAGAAATGTGGTGGAGTACCACTAGCCATCATCACTATTGCTAGTATTTTAGCTAGTAATGGTCAAGATCAGCACATAAAGCCAAAGTATCATTGGGACAACATACTTGGCTCTATTGGTCGTGGACTTGCAGAAGGTGATAGTGCAAAGGACATGCAGAGAATATTGTCCTTTAGTTATTACGATTTACCTTCCCATTTGAAGACTTGTTTATTATATCTCAGTATATTTCCAGAGGATTTTGAGATAAGGAGAGACTGGCTGATATGGATGTGGATAGCCGAAGGCTTTGTGCAAGGTGGAGAACAAGAAACTGGACTATTTGAGCTTGGAGAGAGTTACTTCAATGAGCTCGCAAATAGAAACTTGATTCAACCAGTACATTTTGATGCTACCGGCAAGGCTCAAGCTTGTCGCGTGCATGATATGGTGCTTGATCTGTTATGTTCCCTGTCTAGTGAACAAAACTTTGCTACAATATTAGATGGTACACAACAAAGCAAATCTATTTCACATAGCAAGAGTCGCAGATTATCTTTTCAAAATAGCATGTCAGAGCCCACCACCAATCTGGTCAATGCCACAAGTATGCCACAAGTGAGGTCTGTTGTTCTTTTTAGAACAAATATTGATCTAATCAGAACTATTTCATGCTTTCAAGTTTTACGTGTATTGGATTTAGAAGGTTGTGATCTTGGGAGAAATGGCCATGATGTTGATCTCAGGTATATTGACAATTTATTACACCTAAGGTATCTAGGGCTCAGAAGCACTTTTGTTCGTGAGCTCCGTGTGGAAGTAGGAAATCTACAGTTTTTGGAGACACTTGACTTAGGATCAAGTATAGTAAGGATTCCGTCAAGTGTTGTCTGTCTAGGACGTTTGATATGCCTAAATGCAGGCTATTCGGTGTTACCAGTTGGAATCGGGAACCTGACATCCTTAGAAGAGCTGAAAGGATTACCGGTGGATGTGAAAGAGTTAGGGCAACTGGTCGAGCTGAGAGTGCTCGACCTTCATTGGAATGGGGACGATGAGAGCATGTCTAATTCTTTGGTGGTGTCCTTGGGCAAGCTGCGGAAAATGCAGCGTCTCACAATTTATGGTTGTGTAGGGAATGCAAGGTCTGATGTCAGCTGGGATGGTTGGGTGCCCACCCCACAGCTTCGGTACCTTTGGTTTCGCAGATGCACCACCAAATTGCCTAGGTGGGTTAATTCATCATTGTTTCCCTTCCTCTCCTTCATGAATATTGAGGTGGACAGAGTCCAGCCTGAAGTCGACATTCAGATCCTCGGGATGTTTCCCGCTCTTCGTGTTCTCAATCTTTGGGCAAAAAGATCTCAGTATACTCGTGTTGAAACGTTCGTTGCTAGCGTCGTTGTTGGCGCTAACGCATTCCCATGTTTGAGAGAGTGCATCTTCTATGGATTTCTCACGGTGCCATCTATGTTTCCACGAGGAGCTATGCCAAGGCTTGAAAACCTGCTATTCGATGCCCGAGCGTCGGACATTGCCAGTGGTCAGCTGGATGTTGGCATGGCGCACCTTCCTTCCCTCCGGAAAGTGCAGGTTTTCTTTTGGCTTGAGGAAGGCAGCTCTTCGGATAAGTGCGTGGAGGAAGCTAATGTTTTGCTGAGGCATGCAGCGGACACCTGTCCCAGCCGTCCCACCCTTCAGACCTATCAATATCGTGAGTCCTTTCTTTCAGGTTTCTTCTGTAGATTATGGCTTAATTCTATTTCTCCGAACAATGCACACGCTGATTGATTTTCTTTGTTAGATTCTTAACCCCAATGACAAACGACGATCTCTAGCCGGTCAAGCTGCGTTTGCTGCTTGACGTGTTCTGCATCTGGGTTTCTCTTGTTGACAGCTGCTGTTCTGGGGTATGGCAAATTCTGGAACTGTGTAATATGATATCTGGCAAACTCCCCAAGCCAGGCGCCCCGATTCTGAAGGATGGGCAGTGGACCTCGCGGAATACAGATGAGACGGAGACGCTGAACTAGTTAGTGCCATGCAAATGCATGATTTCCTAATAATAGTTCAGTGTACCGACGTCCATGTATTTATGTAAGTGTTTGTGTTGTACTACCTGATTGCACGTAGCTAGTACAGTGTATTTACAGCAGACTACTCTGCATTACCTACTACTGAATTTCTGAACATGCCCTGCATTACTGAATTTCTGAACATGCCCTGCAACTTGGCCATACTATTTCTGCATTAGTTCACAACTGGGTGCTATATATCTTCTTGCACAATGTCGACTGTCTTGTGCATTAGTCCTGTATTGAGTTTATTATTACGATGACGGACGTGCAGTCCACACGACATCCTTAGTTTCTTCTATCTGAGTGCAGGACTGCTGGTGTAGTTTTATTATGATGCACAGGCCTCCCTCTGTGGTTGATTATTTTAGATGTTGTCATGTGTTAGGCAAAAAGAGTATTAGTGTTAGTGTTAGCCCCCAGCCATGATTGTAGCTTTGCAAATCTTTCTCGAATGTCCTCTTTTTTTAGTAGAACAGTAATTAATTCAAGATGTCGGGTCTGCATGGTTACTCAAAATATGTGGTTTTCTATTAGTATTTGATAGTAAAAGTTTTGGTTATTATTTTATTATTGGTAGATGTTCTGTGTCGCGGCTATATGGATTTGGTTCAGGAGTAAAAATTTGGATCTTCATTACTTGATAGTATAAGGTTTCAATCCATCACTTCCAAATAACTATTGGGGATTAGGGATTAGGGACGGGAAGGGATATTTAGTCCCATCCCATTCCCAATCAAATAACGGTTTGCAATCCCCTCGTGCCAAATAAGGCCTCGGACATGGGTATTTTTAAGATTTTCTGAACATTTATTGAAATTCAGAACCATTTATGGGTAAACAAATTACAGTTGAGCAATTGATAGAAAAACGAATAATTAGGATGATATCTAACACAATGATCATGAATATATCCATCACGTCCGTGACAAGTAGACCGACTCCAGCTTGTATCTACTACTATTACTCCACACATCGACCGCTATCCAGCATGCAGCTTTGGAGGTAGACAATTTTGTTCAGGACCAGAAATACCATTCCTCACGCTACTTCGGAGGGATTAGCAATGTTTCAAGCAATCCTGACGTGCAGTTGATGGATTCGATATATTATGGTGACGGAGAAAGTGTGGTGACAGGAGAAGGCTCAGCAGAAGATGACAACGACCAAGCTCGTGGCAGGTACTACTTTTCCTTCTAGAAACAAATAGTGCATCCCTCCTTTAATTTGTGCACGGTGCTTCGTAAAGGAGAAAAATGTATTTACATGTACATACTACACAGAACAAGCCACATGTATGAATGTTTCCACAATTTTTGAATCAAAACTACAGATTATGTTCTTTGGAAATTGGGAGTGGGCCCAAAAATAGTTTCAGGGAAAAAGAGCAAAGCCAATAGCAAAAGAAGAAGAACAATGTTTCATCTTATTTTAATGATGCTTCATGATTATTGTGATCAGGATTCATATGCCACAGGAGTCCTCGCCTCTACTTGTTCCTGGTATTTATATTTTAACTTCCGTGGTTAATTCATTCAAACCCTTTCCGAGAACTATTTTGCAAGTTTCTAGAGCTAGACGCATGCATGTCTAATACTTCATTATCTTGTAATTCTAAGGTGGTCCTATGGCATATAGACCATTAAATTTGCACGACCTAATGACCGATAGAACTATTACCTCTTAGGAGGTAATAGACCATTAATGATGGTGTGGGGGTTAGACTATTATATACTATTTTATTTATACCATTAGATGGAAATAGCAGTTTCCCGCAAAAAAAAGAATGGAAATAGCAGTACACTAAAGAGAACAAGAAACTTATATTGAGAATATCTAGAACTTTGTCTAGTCATTGATTCCGCTATAGGAACCAGCTCCTTCGTGAAGATGTGGCCATCGAGGCCGGCCTATGTGAGCTGCATGGTGAGCACACGGTCAGTAGCTAGTATCCTGGTATGCGAGGCGGACACCATCTTGAAGATTGGGCGCTCGACAGGGTACACGGCGTCGGCGCCTACGATGACCGCGCCAACGCTGTCCCCAAAGAATGCCTGGCTGTGTGTGGGTGGGCATCTGCCTCCTCTGGACCACGGAATGAGACAATGGTGAGCTCGACGCAAACCACCAGAACACGCAAGCCACAATTTTTCTCCGCCAGGTCCTTGGCAAGGCACAGCGAGATGGCACCGGCGGAGTAGCGTTTGAGGTGTAGCATGGTCTGGCATACGGACGCACGTAGGCCGAGCAGAGAGGCCAGGCAGAGCTCGGCGCCAGGGGAGTGCACGCCTGAGTTGGCGAGGTGGGTGATGTTAGTGGCCGGACGTCCCCACTCGGCTATGACTTTGGCTGCAGCTTACGCCGCGAGGTCTGGCGCAGCCACAGCCGCGATGGCTAGAGGCAATAGGCTCAGTGGTCATGCGGAAAGGAGAGATGGCCGTCAATAGCCAGAAGTGTGTCCAGCATGAGCCCAAGACGATCGCGTTCCCGCTGTCTAGATAGCGGGTGCCAATGCTGCAAGAATGTAAGGAATTTAAAGAACGAGTCAGAGGCAGACCGAGGGAAGACCCTCTCTTGTTTTGATGAACCCCGCAAGATCCATGGCTTCCAAGAGTTTGCAATAAGACATAGTGCTTTCTGTTGGCACTCTTGATGGAAATCCTCAAATTCCATAAAGTTTTTACCCGATGAATTAAAATTTCTTTCTCAAGCAGCACTCGTGGGAGGGTTGTTAGGGGGCTATTGATCAAACATGAAAAATGCATCTATACTTTAGACATTGTTCATGGTTCAAGCAACTGAAAATAACAACTAATTAGGGTAAGCTCCCACTAAAACCAATATCCCTCGTAAATGATTATTAGTTATTGCAGATCCACGACTAACTTACTCTGCCACTGAAGTGATATCACTGATGACCGAATAACGAGGCCGATAGGTCAACATGCTAATCACATTCCCAAATGACTTTTGTTCATCTTTTGTTGGGTGTGTTCTGAGCCCCTTATAATGTGCTCAACTTATTGCGGGCATCCTGGTAAGGTTTGCAATGTCGATGGTCATAAGAATAGATCATGAGCAGTACAGGAGCTAGTCAAGAGGCCTGACTAGTGATTTGTTTGGTGTTTATTATTCCATATATGCAAGTAGGTCTTTCCTCAAATCTAATTTTATGGAACCAACACGATCGTAGCATAGAATAGAAACTTAATCATGAACATGGAAAATAGAACAATAATAACTTTATTATTGCTTATAGGGCATATTTCCACATATATTTAGGTATATATTATCTTCGTTTGTAAATACATGACTTTCTAAAAAAATGGTAATGCAACATTTATATCTTTGAATATTAATATATCTTTAGATATGTGAGAAAAACATTTTTGATATTTTGGCAATTGTGTTGCAAGTTTAAGAAAGGCTCACACAACCCACACATACCACACTAACGATAAAGGGTTTCCCCCCGCTTTATATTATAAAGCACCACATCCAGCATAGAACATCCATACAACAACATAAAAAGAAAAGAACAAGAATGGTAAAGACACAAGACACCGGAAGATCCGCCAACTCGGCTAACCCAATCCTGCATACGACACGACAAAGACAGGGAAGTAACCCGCAGTAGGTGGAGGCCACGCACCATCGACTCCGCCGAGGCTCAAACAACGTCGATCCATTAGCCGTCTCTACCATCGAAGAAGGCTCCCTGCCATCTCGCACGGACCTTAAGGCGCCACGCCGTCGGCAGGTAAAGTCGCCAAACCAACAGGACGCCAGGGAGACGACGCAAGCACGGCCGCCTCACGTCGCGCCTTCAAGATGCCATTGCACCATCACCACCTAACTGGAGTGTTTGGGCTTTTTCCCAGGTCGCGGAGGAAGAGGATGGGGCGAGGACCGCAATGCCGCCCCTAGAGGAGACGACGGAGCATCGCTGGCACCCTGGACGTAGCCGCAGACCCAGGGTTTCCCCGGGTCCATACCCACAAAACCCTCAGTCCCCAACCAGCCGTGACCACGGGGCACACAGATGCACACCTCGCAGACCGGCGAGGCAAGAACAAGCGCTGGGGAGGGGGCCGTCGCCGTCAGACCCGCTCCAAGGGTCTAACGGGGAGACCCCCGGAGCCGGCTCCGAGCCCGCCATTAGCCCGCCGCCCACGCGGCCAGACATGGTGACCTTCCGCATCAGCACCGGCTACCCACCGTAGGGGAGCCGGTGCGCCCTACGAGCAGGAGTACCCGCCAGCGCACGCGCAAGAACCACCACCACCACAGGGCCCTTCGCACGGCCGCCAAGCAGTAGTCACGCCGCCGCCGCGCGCTCTGCTAGCGCTGCGCCACCACTCATCATGGCTGGCCTGTGCCAGCCCTCGACAGAGCAGGGGAAGAGGTGCCCCGCCGCCGCCGACGCAGATAGGGCTTCGCCCCTCCGCGCAAGCAAGCGGCGGTGAGGGGGGAGGAGGGGGCGGGGTCGGAGGCCGGCGGCTAGGGTTTCCCCTTCGCGCTGCTCGCGGGAGCGACTGGGAGGGGGGAGGGGGGAGGGGGACTCCTACACACACCACAGTCACATCACGCATCTCCTACACACACAAGAAAAATATTGGAGGGAGCATGGTCCTCACTTAGCGCGGGTGTTTCACTCAATTCTCGCTACCTTGTACTCCATATAAACCCGGATGAGTGAGAACAAATAAAACCACTCTTACCAATAGGCTGCCAACATATGAATAAATAAAATCACAGTAGAAAGTAGTGCTTACTGCTTATTAGTAACCGTGTCGATATCTAAAACATCATCTATTTGCGAACATGTACCGTCTCCCTTTTTTACCAGGACCTATACATATGTACCATCGACCGTGGATTACCACTCCAGTAAGTAGTCCGTAGATAAGGAGACTGGATCATACGATTCAGATGCCTTCAAATACGCTACGATTATATGACTTGACTTTTTTGGTAACATGCATGCATGTGCGATGGCGGTATTGATGCTGCTGTGATCCAGTCTTGGTTAATTAAGGCAGATGCCAATCAGATAATCATAAATGTATTACAAGTGAGTCTCCTATTCTGATGTGTACGCTCAGGCCAAGAGGTGTCATGTGTACAGATCTCAGATCTGATCAACGTCTTGGAAAAATGGTGGAAACTGTAGACAGTATCAGGATTAATGTCAGGCAACAAAGTATAAACAATGCAAAGTTATTGGCAGGTAAGCTATTTTACCCTCGCTGTTACTCATTAAGTCGCCTCAGGGTATCAAAATCTCACATGTGACAGGTTACCACCTGTCAGTTAGTACCTAACAATGGCCATTAATAATCACCAGCTTGTTATTGCATGATACATTATCTTACCAGCTTGTTCTCTTTAAATAGTTCGCTGCTGGGTGCCCATTTCTGGCAGAGTAGCACTAGAAGAAAGAAAGTGAACCGGAGAGGAGAGCAAGAAGGAAGAAGAAACAGCTATAGAATGGCTGGTGCGGAGGAGGTGCATGTGGTAGGGTCGTGCTTTGTAAAGCCGGCGGCGGACATGCCGGCAAAAGTACTCTGGTTCTCGCCACTCGACCTCATGCTAGCCAAGAGAGGCTACACCCCACTCCTCCACTTCTACCGTCCTTCTGTCGACCAAACCAGTACCCATAACTTCTTTGACGTGACTAGGTTGAAGACAGCGTTGGGCAAGGCCCTTGTTGCTTTCTATCCCATGGCCGGTCGGCTCAGGGTGGACGACGGCGGCAGGTTAGAGATCGACTGCAATGGTAAGGGCATGCTCTTCCTCGTGGCCTACTCCAGTGTCACCGTCAATGACTTTGGTGACTTGAAGCCATCACCAAAGCTAAGGAGGTTGCTTGTTCCTCACATGGACGACTCAGCCGGCATCTTGTGCGCCACCCAGGTATGGTTCCTTCTTAATTAGGCACTGCAGTAGCTACTACAATGACAAGAAGCAAGTAATATGTGCGTCATGCAAATCCATATATTTATGTAGGTGACATTCTTCAAGTGTGGTGGGGTGGCCTTAGGGACGGCAGTGCACCATGGCGCAGTGGACGGCACTGCCGCCTTTCACTTCTTCCAGACATGGTCAACTTTGTCGAGGGACGGCGAGCGGGCTGTGGTGAAGCTCCCTTACCATGACTGCACCCTCTTGTGCGCGCGGGATCCACCCGTTGTTCTTCCTGATACCGTCTCCATTTTATGCCACAACACACATCTCTCCCAGCCGTTGGGGCCACTCGTCAACAAGATTTTCACGCTCTGCAAGGACCAAATTTCCACTCTTTAGCACATGTGTGGCGGTGCCGGCGTGAGCACCTTCACTGCCGTGAGTGCACACATATGGCGGTGCATGTGCTTAACTCGGCGGCTACCGCTGGACTCCACGACGCGCCTTGATTTTGTGGCCAACTTCCGGAAGAACATGGTGCCACTGCTCCCGGACGGCTACTTTGGCAATGCGATAATACATGTAAATGTCGTGGAGGAAGTGCGGGACGTTGCCTCAGGCGACTTGGCCTACGTTGCGCGGCAGATCAGAGGCACCATCAGCCGGATAAACGACTTGGCCAAAAGTATATGAGTGACGCGGACACCAAAGGTAATGGTGATGCCATTGACCCTCGCCTGAAGGCAGTGTACAAAGATGTCACAGAACTTGTTGGGATAGATCACATCAGAGATGGGCTGATTGAAAATCTGTGTGACGGCAATGAGAGGTCCAAGGACCAATTAAGGACCATGTCTATTGTTGGATTTGGCGGACTGGGCAAGACAACTCTGGCCAAAGCAGTGTATGACAAGATCAAAGTGCAGTTTCACAGTCGAGCTTTTGTTTCCGTTTCTCGGAATCCTGACATGACCAAGATTTTCAAGAAGATCTTATATGAACTTGACAAGAGCAAGTATGCAACCATCAACGAAGCTGCTAGGGACAATGAACAACTCATCGATGAAATGAGAATGTTTCTTCAGGACAAGAGGTATGTATGTAGCAGCAAATTATTATCATTATTCTTTCCAGGAGAGCATCTAATGCCGGCTAGTAAATACCGTGTCCTAACTAAGTTTTATTTTGGTTTTGTTAAATGGCACTGATATTAGGCCTTACATTTTGTTTTATATGCATCTTCAAATTATGCACTACATATGTTTATCTTTTTTATAAATTTGTTGAGCTGGCAATACCGTCTTTTAATTAATTTGGTGCTGACTTGGCAAAACATATATAGACCTTGTTATGTTCATTGATTTGTAAACTAACGCAATAAAAAATACAGGTACCTTATTGTAATCGATGACATATGGGATGAAAAAGCATGGGAACTTATTAAGTGTGCTTTCACTGACAACTGCCTCGGTAGTCGAGTAATGACTACCACCCGCATAGCCAGTATCTCTAATGTATGTTGCTCTTCTGGTGATGATATAGTATATCGGATGAAACCGCTTCCTGATGATGAATCCGAAAGACTGTTCTACAAAAGAATATTTCCTCAAGGAAGTAAGTGTGCTGATGAATTGGAGGATGTATCAAGGAAAATCGTAAAGAAATGTGGTGGAGTACCACTAGCCATCATCACTATTGCTAGTATTTTAGCTAGTAATGGTCAAGATCAGCACATAAAGCCAAAGTATCATTGGGACAACATACTTGGCTCTATTGGTCGTGGACTTGCAGAAGGTGATAGTGCAAAGGACATGCAGAGAATATTGTCCTTTAGTTATTACGATTTACCTTCCCATTTGAAGACTTGTTTATTATATCTCAGTATATTTCCAGAGGATTTTGAGATAAGGAGAGACCGGCTGATATGGATGTGGATAGCCGAAGGCTTCGTGCAAGGTGGAGAACAAGAAACTGGACTATTTGAGCTTGGAGAGAGTTACTTCAATGAGCTCGCAAATAGAAACTTGATTCAACCAGTACATGTTGATGCTACCGGCAAGGCGAAGCTTGTCGCGTGCATGATATGGTGCTTGATCTGTTATGTTCCCTGTCTAGTGAACAAAACTTTGCTACAATATTAGATGGTACTCAACAGAGCCAACCTATTTCACAAAGCAAGAGTGGCAGATTATCTTTTCAAAATAGCATGTCAGAGCTCACCACCCATCAGGTCGATGCCACAAGTATGCCACAAGTGAGGTCTGTTGTTCTTTTTAGAACAAATATTGATCTAATCCAGACTATTTCATGTTTCAAGTTTTACGTGTATTGGATTTAGAAGGTTGTGATTTTGAGAAAAATCGCCACAATATTGATCTCAAGTATATTGAGAATTTATTACACCTAAGGTATCTGGGGCTAAGAGGACCTCATGTTCGTGAGCTCCCTGTGGAAATAGGAAAGCTACAGTTTTTGGAGACACTCGACTTAGACAGAAGTGGACCAACTGCAGCAGCGATTCCGTCAAGTGTTGTCTGTCTAAGACGTTTGATATGGCTACATGCAGACAATACGGTGTTACCCGTTGGGATCGGGAACCTGACGTCCTTAGAAGAGCTGACTGGAAAATTGGTGGATGTGAAAGAGCTAGGCCAACTGGTCAAGCTGAGAGTGCTCTACCTTTTTTGGAAAGGGAACGATGAGAGCATGTGTAATTCTTTGGTGGTGTCTCTGGGCAAGCTGCGGAAAATGCAGCGTCTCACAATTTATGGTTGTGTAGGGAATGCAAGGTCTGATGTCAGCTGGGATGGTTGGGTGCCCAACCTAGAGCTTCGGTACCTAGGTGGGTTAATTCATCATCGTTTCCCGCTTACCGCTGTTTACACGACATGTACTCGGCAACCTTCAAGCGGAAGCCCAGCAAGGGTGTCGGCTATGACCTGACTAACCACACAAGTCTCTCGTCCAGGTTTATCGCCTATTCGGGTTCCATCCGCAAGGAGATCCGGCCGGGGTGTCGCTCACGGCCTCAAACGATGTGTGCAGGGTTCGCAAGCCCACCATCCGGGTGCTACTTGGTACACCAGGCCACTGTGCCTAGTCTGTCCCAAGCCCACCTGTACCGGGTGCCACTTGGCAGACTACTAACACTACCTACAAACACTAGAAACTAGTTGCAACTCCTGGACAGAGATCGAGTTGATTAATAAGTCGAGAGGGACACTTAAGCATTCCAATGCGTGGTAGTAGTTGTTCATGGATCACAAACACAGAACTCGGTTCCTGAGGACGGCTGCAATGAGACAACCCACCATGTACTCCTACATGGCCTCTCACCGCTACCTTTACCAAATCGTGTTCACACACTTAGCTCACACACCGTAGGACATGTTCACACGCCTCTGATTCATCCCCGATGAATCAGACCTGACTCAACTCTAAGCAGTAGCAGGCATGACAAACAAGCATGAATGAGTAGGCACAACAGGGCTCAAACAACTCCTACTCATGCTAGTGGGTTTCATCTATTTACTGTGGCAATGACAGGTCATGCAAAGGATAAAGGGGTTCAGGTACCGCAATAAGTAATAGATGAATCGGTGTTGTCCTAATGCAGTAAAAGAGAGCAGGAGCGAGAGAGTAGGATTGTATTGAAATGAACAAGGGGGTTTTGCTTGCCTGGCACTTCTGAAGATAGTATAGTTCTTCATTGGTGTCATTGATCACATCGTCGAAGCGCGTCTATCGAGAGGGGACAGATACCGGCAACAGAGAAGAAATACAATCAATGCAATACACATTATGATGCATGATCATGACATGGCAACATGCTGGTGTTTTGAGCTAATGCAGCTAGCAACAAAGTTAAATGAAGTTGGTTTGAACCCTAAGTTCAAATCCAAACTCCATATGTGAAATTCAAATGCCATTTATACGATTTGTCCTAAACAGCAGCTATAAGTTGTTCTAACATGCATGAAAACAGTACAGATGGATAGATTGGATTTTTCTGATCATTTTTCATATATAAATTATTTAATTTGGAGTTACGGTTGAATTTCTATGATTTTTACAAGTTTTAAACATTTTCCGGAATTTACTGAATTAGATTTAATACAGAAATTCATTTACTGCGTCAGCAATGTGTAAGCATGACGTCAGCAGGTCAAAGGGGCTGGTCCGGGTCAAACCTGACCAGTGGGGCCCATTTGTCAGTGTCACATTGCTGGCTTGGGTCACTGACGGGTGGGGTCGGTCAAGGGCCACGTCAGCAAGGTCAACGCTGACGCGTGGGGCCACGGTGATTAGTTAAAACTAAGTAGGAATTAAACTATGGTTAATTTTGGGTGTGGGGCCCATTAGTAAGTGGGTCAGGGGGTTAATTAGCGGGTGATTAGGCCTAACTAGGTGGCCACGTCGGCGGCTAATCGCCGGCGACCACAGGCCACGGCGGAGGCGTCGGGTTTGCTCCTCCGGCGACCAAACGAGTGGCGGAGGGGCTTTGCGTGGAGCTGGTGCTCATCCGCATCCATCGGAGCAAGTCGCAGTGGTTGGGGTGGTCTACAGCGCCGACGGTGTCGAGCTTTGCGGCGGCCGGAGTTCGGGAGTGCTTGGAATCGGCGTTGTGGTGCACGGTGAGACGAACGGGTGAGCTAGATCGGCTCCTGGGAGCAGCGTGAGCGCGATGACGTGCTCAGGGGCAAGCTGAGCTTGCTCAAGCCATGGTGATGACTTCGCCGGCGGCGTGAAGCTCACGGCCACGGCGGAGGGAGATGCTACGGTGAGCTACAGGCCACGGGGATAAGGGGAGACGGTGAAGGAGCTCACTGTGAGGTCGAAGAGCAGCTCCGTGGGCTCGGGGAGGCGCTCGGGGCGGCGAATCGACGACGACGATCTTCGGTGGCCGACGAGGGAAACGGCGGTGGTGGCGACGTAGCACAGCTTCTGGCGCCGCGAGACTCGGTGGAGAGGACGAAGACGGCGAGGCGGAGACGCCTGGGATGGAGAGGGAGCGAGGGAGTGGCTGTGGCCATGGCGACGGTGAGCGACGGTGACAGTGGCGCTCGGGCAGAGAGGGAGAGAGAGCAGAGGAGAGGATGGGGACGAGAGAGTGAGCGAGGGGGTTCCAGAGGGGTAGCGTGGCAACATTGGAGGTGTCCAGGCGTCGGGGACGCAGGCAGGCAGGGTGGAGGTGGCCGGGGCGCGTGCCGGCGCGCTGCGGCCACGCGCTCGTCCTCCTGGCAAGGAGGAAGACGACAGGGGAAGGGGCCAGGTGGGCAGGGCTGGCCAACTGGGCCGCCAGGCTGGACAAGTAAGCGGCCCAGGTAGTTTCCTCTCTCTCTCTCTCCGTTTTCTATTTAGTTTTCTGTTTTTCTATTTCTTCTGTAAATGTTGGGCTTTATTAAAAATACTTAGGCACACTCAAAAATCACCAAACTGCTCATGGATACTGTTTGGAATATATCCAACATGGAACATTTCAGTTTAGGGTTATTTGGACATTTTAAATATTTTATAGAATTTAAATGCCCAAATTCAAATAGAGTATGATTTAATTCAGATCCCAAATATGTCATGGAAAAATGTGCATCACCTCTGGCTACTGTTTACAGTATTTCTCATAAATGATGAACATTTTTTAAAGCCATTTGGACTTACTGAAAATATTTTAGGTGAACCTAGTGAATTCCTTTAATGCTAGGGTTTAGGCAATCCCCATTTCAACTTTCTGTAAAAGTAAACATGATGCATCACCAAAGACTAGCACTAGTGCATTGCTAGAAGCTAGGGATGTGAAACCCCGGGGATCATCAATCGTGGAAATCGCTCTGGGACCCCAAAACAGTGAGTAATAGTGCATGAAACGGACCAGAATGGCCAAAACTATGAGTGTTGACGACTGACACGTAAACGCACCCTGGGGATCGTCAATCACGAAAATCGCTCTCAGACCCCAAAACGGTGAGTAATAGTGCATCAAACGGACCAAAATCGGCCAAAATTGGGAGTGTTCAGACCGACACGTAAACGCACCCCGGGGTTCACCAATCGCGGAAATCACTCTAGGACCCCAAAATAGTGAGTAATAGTCCAAGAAACGGGCCAGAACCAGCCCAAACTACGAGTCTTGACGACCAACACGTAAGCACACCTTGGGGGTTCAACAACCATGGAAATCACTTTGGGAGCCCAAAACGGTGAGTAATAGTCCATGAAACGGGCCAGGATCGACCAAAACTGTGCGTGTTGATGACCGGCACGTAAACACACCCCGGGGATCATCTATCGTGGAAATCGCTCTGGGCCCCAAAACGGCGAGTAATAGTGCATGAATCGAACAAGAATGACCAAAATTGTGAGTGTTAACGACCGACACATAAACGCACCCTGGGGATCGTCAATCATGAAAACCGTTCTAGTACCCCAAAACGGTGAGTAATAGTGCATCAAACGGACCAGAATCGGCCAAAATTGCGAGTGTTGACGACGGACTCACAAACGCACCCCGGAGATCATCAATCGTGTAAATAGCTTTGAGACCCCAAAACGATGAGTAATAGTGCATGAAACGGGCCAGAATGGCCAAAATTGTGAGTGTTGACGACCGACACATAAACGCACCCTGGGAATTGTCAATCATGAAAATCACTCCGGGACCCCAAAACGGTGAGTAATAGTGCATCAAATGGACCAGAATCGGCCAAAATTGAGAATGTTGACGACAATCACGTAAACGCACGCCGGGGTTCGTCAATCGTGGAAATCATCCCAGGACCCCAAAATAGTGAGTAATAGTCGAATAAAACGGGCCAGAACCATGGAAATTGCTTTGGGAGCCCAAAACGGTGAGTAATAGTCCAAGAAACAGGCCAGAATCGGCCCAAATTGCCATTGTTCATGACCGATACGTAAACACACCCTGGGGATTGTCAATCATGAAAATCGCTCTGGGACCTAGAACTATGAGTAATAGTGCATCAAATGGTCCAGAATCGACCAAAATTGCGAGTGTTGACGACAGACATGTAAACTCTCCCCAGGGTTCGTCAATCGCGGAAATCACTCCGAGACCCCAAAATAGTGAGTAATAGTCCAAGAAACGGGCCAGAACCACCCCAAACTGCGAGTATCGATGACCAAC